TATCTCAAACTTCAACTCACCTCTTCTCAATAATATATGTTCAACAAATTTACATATTTCAATTACATATCATTTACCATCATTATTTTATAATTTTATTTGAAAATACTATAGAATAATATCGGGCAATAAAGCTTCATCCTGCAAGCCTTAGCAGTACCATCTAAATTGAAAGGTTTCACCGATGATTCGCTATATCAAATTGAAGGTCGGCTACTGGACTTTCTCCATCTAGGGTGAAGCATTCACGTTGCTTCGCCTAGCAGCATGATACTTGGTTTTTTATTTTAACTTATATTCACTCAAAAATTAAAAATCAAACCTTAATTTACATACACATATATTTTTTCAATCGTAATTTATTTATTCAATAAAAAATGATTTCCACCAACACCATAAGAACTTCTAATTGAGGAAACTATGAAATTTTTGTGGTAAATTATTTTTTTTCAATATATAGTTAACGTGTTTTTGAGTTTTGCAATTTTTTTTATGTTAAATGCAACCCAAACTTTATGAATACTTATAATTTTCATACTTTACATCTTGACAATACACGTGCTCATTTTTGCGGATGATGTGCAAATGATGAATATTCATCGAATTTATGTTACATTTTACAACGAACAATATTGTAGGTTGCAAATACCAAAACATGTATAGTACAAGTTGTATCCAATGTTTTACCAAATTATGAAAGTCACCATTTCCATATTAAAAATCCAATAAACCTTCATTNAAAAAATAAAAATAAAAAATCTACACATTTGCATCTCAAAATAGTACTCCATTTAATAAGCCCAGGCCACAATATCTGCGGTCAACCACTAGCCAGATAACCGGGATCTGCAAGAAAGAAAATCGAGACGATGAGCTTATCTCTACTGCAAGGTTACTCCTCGGCTGAAGAAGAAGATGAAGATGATGAAGACCAGCAGCAATTATCGCGAGATGAATTTTCCTCGGACGGTGATGAAGACGAAAACGACACCGTTTTGGAGACCGGTCGTTCATACAAACCCTTGTTCGACCCAAATCCGCCGTCTTCTTCCTCATTGCCATCCGCTTTTGAAGTCTTCGCCGAAGTAGATTATTATCTTTTACTGCGGAATAATGTCGTTTTTTGTCACTCGAGTAGAGGGTTTTTGTCGTAATGCATAGTTCTCTTTCGTTTTCCTAATTTTCTTTTTGTGGATAATTATTGGAGGTTACTGGGCCGCCGCAGTTTCTGAACAACTCTGTTCAGGAAGATACTTCGAAAGAGAATGGGCAACGGTGGAGGCACGGTCGTGGTAGAAAAAATCGCGAAGAAAAGAAAGATTCACCTTCAGGTATTTTTTCACTCTTTTGTTTTTCGGTTTGGGCAACTTTTAAAGTTTGGTCGAATGTGGGACATTGTTTTCCCACTGCTATTGTGTTGATGCATTTTATGAACTTCTCCTGAGAAATTTACTTCTGGTGCAGTGTGGATTGTGGTTATGTTTTTATCAATTGAAATATTGATGATAGTGAGAGACTTTTTGATGTTCAGTTTCTGCTTTGCTTGGTGTTGTTTTCGGAAACTTTAAAGGACACATGCTTCTGGAATTGTATCTCCTCTAATTGAATGTGTAAGTAGAAATTTATACTGAAGATGTGAAATGAAATGGACATTAGCTTGCTTCATTGGGATGTAACTCAGCTTGTTTCTGAAAAAAAAAAAAAAAAAAATTATCTTTCCTTGCTTTGCCCATGGCTGGCTTATTGTTATATGAGCCTCTTAAATCAAGCGGTAGACCTGCCTTCATATGGGCATTACTTGTTAGAAGATAAAAAAATTGTCTAATAGTACTCGATTCCTATACATTATTTTTGGTATATATTATGTGTCATATTCTCTAAATTGGATGATATTGTAAACAAAGATAGAAGCATAACGATGTCATCTAAATGCAAACTTGTTGCTGGTTGCTTTGATTTTGGGGCTGTCAGACACTTATTGTTTTGTGTTTATAGGTGCTGTCGTTGAGTCTAAGGCTCAATTAGTAGGGATTTACGAGAGAGTGAGAACTGATGCCGAGAGCAACCCCACCGGAGGCCAATCGAGTGGTAGTAAAGCAGCCATTGCTGCACCAGGTGGGAAACGAGTGGCTACCGTTGGCAACCCAAATGCAGAAGATGCAGCTGAGCTGTTGAGGTTACTTACTGAGCTATTAGCACAATAACAGCCCCTGGGTTTTTTCTTTGGAAATGCTAATACTCATCCCACCCAAAAAAACAATACTTATAAAGAGAATATAGAATTCTGACACAATTACTTGGTGGTTTTCAGCATTTGCATGAAATTATGGTTTCTGGATGTAATTAAATTCCAACATTACCTCTAGATGTTTAGTGACTGAAGTGTAAAAGCATGATACTTGATGAATTTGTCTAATGTATGTACATGATGTTTCAGGATGTGTGTGAGATGTGGGATTCCCAAAACTTATTCTCACGCAAAAGGAATAGTCTGCCCCATGTGTGGGGACCAACCAGCAGCGGACTCTGATAAAGATGCCTTGAAGAAGAAAGGGTCTACTGTCAAGGACAAGGAGAAAAGTAAGAGGATGAAAGGCCAATCTTCTCACGCCACATGGAAAAGCGAAACGGAGATGCAACTCAGACAGCAGTTTGACTAGCAGAAGAAACTGGTGGTATCTGTCTTATGGGTATGAGTTGTTCCTTAAATTATAAAAGTTGAGGATATATGTTACTGAACAGAATGGAAACAAATTAGTGATTTTGGAAGCATGTATGCATTTTTTTCCTAGTCTCAGTCTCTCTCTCTCTCTCTCTCTCTCTCTCTGTGTGTGTGTGTGTGTGTGTGTGGACATGTTTGTTTCTTGTGTCAGTTGAGGTTTTCGTGCCAATATCTAAATCTACAATTGCTACACTTGTGATAGGTGAGGTGAATGGTAGAGTCGACAGTATTGTGTCCTTGACAATTATATAGTCCCCAAACTGTGTGTCTTAACATTTGAGATAGTTGAACCTTGGAAGACGAATGATGACTGTTTAAGAGTTCTACTATTTGTTACAGTTTAGTGTTCATTGTTGGTTGCCAGTCTCACCTGCAGTCGTTTAATGATTCTTTCAATGTGAAACTTAGCAGGGGTTCCTAGTTTGAGCTCCAACGTAATGATCTTTGAATGTGAAACTTAGCAATGGTTCTCATTTTAAGCTCTAACAATATATCACCAGCCCCCATAACAATACAGCCTCTGGCGTTTGAATCTCCACTGCCCCTCCATTAAATCTTTCTTCCCACTTACATCATAACCTTTATTTTTTTGGTTGTTCCATTAAATATTTATCTCCACTTATATCATAACATTTATGTCATGACTTGATCATTTTGAGAANTTTTTAATTATGATGTCATTTGGCCATTCTTAAAGTTATTTCACACAAGACAGAAGGTATGAGGTATCTGATGTCATGGCTCTCCCTATCCTGGAGCTTTTTGGACTTTTGATCTGTTACCATTTTCTATGCTTTTATTTGTTGGGCAAGTGGAGAAAACCCAAATTAAACAAGTCTCAGGAGGGAAAAAATAAAAATAAAACAAGAGGATGGTCCACGGGCTGGCCGTTGGGAACGTAAAAGATGGTCCGAGGGTCACAAACTGGAGGTTTCACTACCCTCAACCTCAAGGGTAACAAATAGACATAAATGTATAATCTCATACGCATAACCAAACCAAGGAAAAATGAGAAACACCTTGAAGGCAACAAATAACGACCATAAGCTACTTATCTGAAACTTGATGGTAATCAAGCACAGTACTTATTCTTGCACACACCTCACCACTATTTAAGGCATGAACAGATTCTTCTACATCCTCTCATCAATGACATCTGTCTTATACTTCCAACATCGAATTATTACAAGGTTAATCGAAGCATGTATAGAATTAATCATGAATGTTTCTTAAACTCATGCGAAAAGAACACTAGTGATATCCAAGAGGAGCTGGAGCCTCCCTGAGTTCTTTTCCCTGAAAATGAATGTCCTGCACAAGTGTACCCGAATTAGAAAACAAACTCACCAGTTTGAGTACACTACTTTGATTTTTTTAGCTCAAGTGATGAGGTTGGCTTCTATCCAGACATAATCAATTCATTGAAGACATCAGTTGCATTTAGCCTAAAAAGCAAGCGGGAAGCATATATTCCAATTGCATTTATAG